GCTTCAAGGGCCTCATCGCCGTCGCGTCCAGGATGGCGGCCAAGGTGCTTGGTGCCCTGCGCACTGACGGCACCTGGAAGGAGTTCACTGTCGAGGTCCCTGGCAGCCCTCGCTGCCGCATCCACTTGGGCCCCGACAAGTCGCCACGCCAGATTCGCTGCGAGATTCTGTTGCGGAGAGCCCGTACTATCATTGCCGAGCGTCACCCGAACCTCCGACTGTTCACCGACAGAGAGCGTGCCACGCTTTCCATTGGATGGGATCGTATCATGCGTGTGGAAGTCCATCCTGGCAACAAGCCCGCCGAGTTCTACTGGGACAACCAGCAGCTCGCCAAGCACGACCTCGTCAAAGCCGAGCTCGTGTCGCTGCTCGCCCCCCTTGTCGAACCTGAGGCAGAACCACAGTGGTGCCTTTGACGTATGGAAGTTGTTCGCATGTACATCACCGTCTCCTGCCTCGCCGGTGTCTGCCATGAGGGTCGTCGCGTGGAATGCGCGAGCATTGCTCCAGCACGCTGGCAAGAATGGCACCCGCAAGTTCAACTACCTACTTCGCCTCCAACCCGCACGCTCCATTGTGTGCCTACAGGAGGTCAGGCAGGACGCTCTTCAACTTCGTGGGTTCCTCGGCCCTTGGGGTGAGGCGCTGACAGTGCACTCGTCGTTCTGCGGTGACTCAGGTGCGGACCGTGTCCGTGGGGATGTGGCCGTTCTTCTTCCCCAGTTTTGTCAGGCAGCTGGAGACCGTGTGCGAAGTCACGCGGTGGCTCTCGTGCCTGGTCGCGTTTTGTGGGTCACCGTCGTGCGTGGCCCGATCTGCATGGAGATCTTCAACATTCACAACCACGACCTGAAGCAGAAGCAAGTCAAGGAGATAGTTGAGATCATCCTCAAGGCTCGTGCTGCTGCGCTCAGGGCGCCCTCCCAGCGGCTCGCGCTGGTTGTGGGCGACTTCAACTTTGCCGCGGAGGATGCTGTGGTTCTTCATCTACCACAGGCCGCTGTTCGGCGCGCTGCACGTCAACATCATGGGCAGGCTCAGACCTGGAGGCGAGCTCTCTCGCAGCTCGTCGAAGTGGAGTGCGATTTGGGGCCGCACTATGAGAAAAAGTCCAATTCTGAGGCTGCGATCGACCGCCTCTTCCTCTCTCTCCCTGGTTGGATGGTCTGTCAACATCATTTGCAGGCTGCTACTGTTGGCTCTGCAGCTGCCGTCTCTGATGCCATCGTCTCGGATCATACCGCGGTTGTGGTCACCATCGCTCCCCGTGCTGCCCGTCCCCCTGCCGAGCGCCCTCTTGCCAAACATCTCTTCCATGACCAGTGCTACCTGAGCCGCATCCGTGCCATGGTTGATTGTGCTGATTGGGGCAGTATGTCGCCCCCATATCGATTGGAACATTTAAAATATCTCATGAAAGAAGCCGCGCGTGAAGCCCGTGATAATGACTTTCGACGGCGCCCCCATCATCCATCCACCCTGCTGCAGCTTGCTCGCTCAATGGCCAGAGTTGTGTGGCGGCAAGATGTGAAGCTCGCTTGGAGATTACTAGAATCCCACCCCGTCGCCGCCGATTTCATCCGTGTCCAAGGGCCTGTGGTCGAGTTGTTGCATCCTGAATCGTTCCATGCGTGGTCCGACCGCCTCCAGTGGGAAGCTGCCGAATGTGCCCGTGCCGAGTTGCAGAGGAAGAACGACTCCTCTCAGGATACGCGTTCCGCCCGCCTTCAGCTGAAGTCCTTAGAGAGGCGGGCTCGCCTCTGGTCGCCGTTAAATCGACGTGCATGCCTGACGGCAGTTACCGATGACAGCGGGCGCTCCGCATGTGACCCTGCCGAGCGCGTGGACCTCCTGAAGAGCTACTGGGGCCCCGTCTTCTCCAGGAAGCCCTGGGGCCGCGACAGAGCCGTCGAGCATGCGGCCAAGTACTTGCCGACTGTTGACGATGTTGTTCTTTCCCCTCCCACACCACGCCTCCTTCGGGCTGTCCTTACCCGTGCTGCTGACTCCGCCACAGGTTGTGACGGGCTCTCCTACACAGCGTGGCGCTCCATACCCTTCGGTGCGACCATCCTCTGGGACTGCCTCGAGTGGGTGATGAGTGGCCAAGCGTTATTTGACTCTGCAAGTACGACTCCCCAGGTCTTTCTGCCCAAGAACGTGACTGAGGATGAGGCCCAAGCCGGCCAAGTTGCGAGGGGGGCAGACAAAGTGAGGGTGCTCGGTCTCCGCAATTGTGACGTTAAGGTCCTCTCGGCAACCATGAACGCCGCCCTTCGCCCCGTCCTCGAGCGCATTGCCCCGCCCTGTCAGAGAGGCTTCGTCCCTGGGAGGAACTTTGGCCTGAACGTTCTGGAATTGGACGTTTCGAGTCGTCAGCTCTCGTGCACACCGCATGGCTCTCGGGACCTGCCCATCCTGTATAGCCTGGACTACGGCCAAGCCTTCCCCTCCCTGAACCAGGAGTTCGTGCTGTTTATCCTTGGGGCGCTCCGTCTTCCTGAGGCCGTCTTGAAGTTCGCGGGGTTCCTTTATGAGGCCATCGAGGGCGTTGCGGTCTCCATGGGGCTCCGTGTTCACTTGTACTGGGTCCGCAGCGGGATCATCCAGGGGTGTGCCCTCTCTGGCTCTCTCTATGCGATTGCATCGTCCACGTTTCTGTACCACCTCGTGCGCGTGATCGAAGAGGCGGGCCGCGGGCTCGCGCGTGCGTGCGCCGACGACATCGGTGGCACGTTGAAGAGCATAGAGGACCTGGCCTGGGTCGCCCTCGCGATGAGGGAGGCGGAGTTGGTGGCGAACCTTGTCCTGAAGATTCAGAAGTGCCATATTGTGCCCCTGTCAGCCTCATTTAGTCCTGCACTCGCTTCGGAAGCTCTTGGGAGGCTCACTCGTACTGTGCCCCACTGGTCCGCCATGAAGATCGTCTCGGAGCTCCTGTACCTTGGGATATGGTTGGGGCCCTCTGTGGACTCTATGAGGCCTTGGGTCGACCCTCTTGCAAAAGCGCGGCTGCGGGCTCGAGCAGTCGGACGAGGTGTCACCCCCGCTAGCCTCTCATCCATCATCTACAATACTCGTATTGTCAGCACACTCTCTTATGTCAGCCAGTTCTTTTGGATGCCGCGAGCTGTCCTCGCATGCGAGCTGGGTGTGCTTGCGCAGGTCTTTCGGGTCGCGCTTGGCACCTTCCCGCTGAGTGCCTGGGTGCAGATGGACCGCTGGCGTGGCCCGCGTGTCCTGAGCTGGGCTCACCTCAACGCGGCGTCCCTGCTGCGGGCGGCCGCCCACACCTTCCCCGAGCACCAGAGGCTGCTGGACGACATGCGGACCCACGCGTGCACGCTCGCGGACTCCAGGTCGCTATACATGGTCGGCTCTGGTGCACTGTATCCTGGCTTCTGGCGGAGCCCTGCTATTGTGGAGAACCTTGCTCTGGCCTTGGATGGACCCGCCCCTGCTGGGCCGTGGGCATCGCTTCTCCCCCGTGCTCGTGAAGCGCTTGCCAGTGCTGCCGAGGCCCCTCCTGGTGCCCGCCCCCGTCCCCAACGTGCTGTTCATCGTGCTCTTCGCGACTTGGCGGCCTCTGCCGCGCCGTTGCACGACTTCCTCCGCGCACGGCCCCAGAAGTTCTTCTTTCCACGTCACGGTGCTCTACTCGACCTGATCGATTGGCAGCGCGTCTCTGCCACGCTCAACCTGTGCCCCTGCTCATGGGTGTGGGCCGCTCTGAGGACCTGGTGCGATGGCTGGCTTACCTCATCCCGCATCCTCCACCCTGCAGGCAGGCGCGGCTGCGCCCTGGGGTGTTACAACTGTGTCGATTCGCTTCTTCACTACTCAAGGTGCGTGCGGATGCAAGCTGCGCTGCGCCGTGCCCTCGGGCATGGCTTCCCGCTGGAGCTCGCTGAGAGGTGGGGCCTCGTGGCACCCTCTACTGCCGCCTTCGGCTTCCTGGCCGCCGCGGTGAGCATTACAGCGCGATCCGTCTGATCCCCGACTGGCCGATCTCGGAGCAGGACGCGCAGAGTGCTGCACTGGCTGGTGTGAGGAGCACGCGGATGGCCTCGACTGGTGCCCTGCCTGACGACCCACCACTTCAATGGAGCGTCCGCTTTATGACGAGACGAGCTCGGCGCTTGTCCTCCTCCTCTTCGTCCTCTTCCTCGTCTTCATCCTCACCGTCCTGTGCCGACGTGGTTGACACAGACACTTCCAGCGGCTCTGGCCTGACGCCGACGTTGATCACCGAGCTGCGGGACTCTGACTCGGATGCGGACGATCTTGTGTCATTCGACTTCTCCCCGTGTGCTCCTCTCGCGACGCCTGGGACTCCATCGCCTGCCGCGGCCGCCCCTCAGCTCGTTGGCCGCACGCATGACATGTATGATTGCGACTGGGAGGGCCCGACTCCCGTCGAGGTCAGAACGCAAAGTCCTGTCAGTGGGTGCTCCTCGAACCCGACTGTTCAGGCTCATCGAGTATGTTGCGAGGAGGGGTCTCGTCTTCCTGCTGAGTTCAGAACGCAAAGTCCTGACGGCGGGTGCTCCTCGAGCCCGCCGCCTCAGGCTCTTAGAGTTTATTGCGAGGGAGTCTCTGCTGGTGGGTGCGCGGCTCTTCCCACGTGCCCCCCCCCCACCCGCGGATAAGGTCAGATCGCAAAGCCCTGCTCATGGGTGCTCCTCGAACCCTGAGCCACTGGCTATCGCAAATTGTGGGGATGATACTGTGGTGCCTCATGCTTCGCGAGTTGCCAGATACTCTCCCCGCGGCTGGATCTGGTCGACGACTCCATGGGGTGCGTCGACGTGCTCACAGATGCGGGCTCCCTCAACCCTGATGGCTACCCCGTCGGCGCCGACTACTGCGGGTGCTTCTCGAATGGCGGCTTCCTCCTCTCGCGTTGCCACAAGTCGCGCGTCCTCGGCGACTCCGCGGTCTCAGAGGCTATGTCCTGCCTCTCCGCGCTCCGCGTCATGGACTCCCTCCCGCCCTGACTCCCCGCCTGTAAAAATCCATTCCAGGGTGCCCGCTTTTCCCTTTCCCGATGCTCGGTGCTCCTCTCCCCACGAGCCCCCCGCTCCGCGCACAGCCTCGTCCGTGCAGCCTTGCACTCGCCTGAGTGCTGTCTCTCCCCCGTCTTTCCCTCGTTCGACGATGTGCTCTGCCCCTGCCGCTGCCTGCTCCCCGCCTGCTCCCCCTCCCTCCGCGTCTGTGCCTGTTTGTCCGAGCATTGTTTCTCACCCGTCCTTTCATCGTCGCCGCCTCATATTTTCCACGGTCCCTATCTCTGCCCCTGTGCCGCCCCCCGCCGTCTCCCACCCCGCGCCCTTCGGCGCGGCCAGCTCCGTCTTGCCCTCCTGCCCGTCTGTGTCGCCACGCCCGCCTCAGCCTCTTACTGAAACAACGATTGAAAGAATTTATCTGGCGCGGCCGTTGGCCGCCGCCCCGACGGCCACCTCATCTTCCTCTTCCGTCGCTCGGGGCCCCGCTGCCGTTGCGGCTGCTTGCTCCCCTCCCTATTCTCCTTCGGATGCGAATATAAAAACGGCTGCTCAACGTGTTGGCGCTGCCCAAGTGCACCCTCACCACAGCGCTCGCCGAGCGCTCCGAGGCGCAGAGGCCAGGAGCGTCTCGCCCGCGGCGCCCCCGAGGTAGGCGAGGATCGCGGATTTTTTTTACGCTCGTCTCCTCCTCCTCCTCCTCCTCCTCCTCCTCCACCTCCACCTTCTCCTCCTCCTGCATCTCGTCCTCCCTTTTCCCTCTCCCTACTCCCTCCGCGTGGGCGAGAAACACATCCACATCCACGACCTCACAAGCCAGGCCCCCTGGGCCGCGACCCTGTGGATACGGGGTAAAAAGGTGGCGTCACTTTGCGCGCGTGCCCCGCGCAGGGCGTTCCCGTGCGGCCGCGCATCCGCGGGATCGCACCCCGAAATCCAGACCGCGAGTTCGCGGATATACGTTCGCCATTCACGCGTAACTCTTGCCTCTTCCCCGAAGTCCGAAACGCTGCGGACCTGCCTGCTCGTCCGGCAGGAGCCCTCGACACCCCTCCCACTGCCCGGCGGCCGAGGGCAGCGAGGGGGCGGCCAAGCGACGGGACCACGGGAGGCGAGGAGAGAGGGAGGAGGAGGAGGAGGAGGAGAGGAGGAGGAGGAGGAGGAGGAGGAGAAGGAGGAAGGAGGGAGGAGGAAGGAGGAAGGAGGAAGGAGGGAGGAGGAAGGAGGAAGGAGGAAGGAGAAGGAAGGAGGAGGCCGCGGGCGCCCGTGTCTCAGTATCGTTTCATCGACCCCCATCCCCATCCCCATCCCCTTTCGGGTGTTGCTAGAAGTGCCCCTGGCCCAAGGTGCCCCCAGCTTTTCGCTCCATGCTTGAGCCCCTGGGGCCCTCTGGGCCTCTTGAGGGATGCCCTGGAGGCCGTCTTGGGCACCCCGAGAATCCTGGGGGTACCTTGGGCCAGGGGTACTTCTAGCAACACCCGACCCTTCGATCGGAGGCTGATGGACCTCCTATCCGGACACGTCGACTAGCGAAGTGGCCGCGTTCGGTTCGCGAGAGGGCGTCGCGGCCGTCATTTTGGCGGGTCCAGTTCCGTCGGTTTCGGTCCCAGGCCGTTTTTCACTAAGGGGAGGTTTACTAAAGGGAGGTTTGTGCACCGCCGATTCGAGACCCCCACCAGAGTAACACCCCAGTTGGGGAAACACCCCTCGAAACCCGAAGGGAACGACCTACATCTCCATCCAGGGGGGTAAATCGGCCAGTGGGGCCCAGGCCACGCCGCTGGGGATGGGGATCGGTGAAACGACACTCACGTGTGCCCCAGCGCTCCCTGGAGGGAGGGAGGGACCCACCCCGGCGCGGCGCTCCCGGCCCGGTCAGAGGACGCGACTACAGCAGAGTCGGAGGAGGAATACCCAACAATACTTACAACATAGTCTGGGGACGATTAGTTGAGTATGTTTGAGCATTTGGGGGGTATGTTTGATTATCTTTTAGCAATTTGTCGTTCAGAAGCCGCCTGTAGGAAAACACGCCCGACCTGAGACTACATATGGGACGCGTCTGGTTGGTGTGCAGCGTTCTCGCTGGACGGCTCCAGGGACCACCGTGTTCTGTGGGACCTGTCCCGTCAGCTGCTCCTGGCCTTGGGCGGCAGGGACAGAACGACTGATTCTGATCGGCGCAAGTTGTCCCATGGCGTCCAAGTCTGTTGCCAGTCACCGCTTCGCTGAGTATGCCGTCCATCCTCCCTCCTTTTCCTCCTTTTGCCCGAGGAGCTGCTCAGTTGCGGCCCGCTCGCAGACCGAGAGGTTTGGTCGGGTACAGTGGAGACCCATGCCAAGAAACACCCCGCTTGCCTCCAGGGTGCCCTTGGTGTCTTGGGTTTCGACGATTCTGCCATGGAGAGCGTGACGCTCCCGCACCAAACATCGACGGACGTCCTGGGGTCTCAGGGTTGGGTCTCTTGTGGAAGGTTTCTCGTGGTCGGGCCCCTGCTGTATCAGGAGGGGAAAACACACACAGACACAAGTCATCGTCGATTCCCCAGGAGAAGTCATGGGAAGATATGGGAAGTGTGGGGGAGACGAGAACCAGAAACTATAGGAACATATGGGGAATCCTGGCATCTGTGTGTATTTTTATTTGTGCGTCCCAGGGCTCCTTCGCTGCAGCCTCTCCTCGGTCCCTCGCCTTGGCCCCTGGGCCCCGGCCCCGCGCGGCACGGGGCACCACTGCTCACGTGCGGCGCGCCCCCTCCTCGTCGCCCCCGGAGGAAGGGAGGGGGCACCGCTCGCTCTCTCTTCGACACACACACACACACTGACCTTGCACCACATCCCCAGGACGAAAGTTTTCAGGAGAGGAAAAAACACACAGACACAGTCAATCCTCGATTCCTCAGAAAATATGGGAAAATATGGGAAGTGGGGGGGAAGACAGAAACCCAGAAAATATATGAAAATATGGGGAATAATTTCATTTGTGTGTATTATTTGTGTGTCCTGGGGCCCCTTCAACTTTGTTCCTCTTGGGCCCGAAACGACGGTTTGAACTCTTGAGCAGACGCGTGTGAGACAACCGCCGTCGGATCGCATGAGTTTCGCGCGGATCCAGGTGTGGCTTTGGTGTTTGTTTCGGTGTATCCGATTTTTGTCCGCGCGGATGCGATTTCGGATTAGCTGGGTCCGTGTTCGGTCTTATGTTTTACGGCAGATCCTTCTACCCCGTTTTAAATTTATAGTATCAAACCAAAACGGGAAGCCGGAGGAAATCGGATCCGCGGACCCTGGAACCCGCCCGTGTTAAGATTCTACGGGGGAACGGGGTTTGGTCCTTAATTTCCAACTCATCATTTGCACCTCAAGAGGACAATCTTTCGTCCTGCGTAAGTATCAAGAGGACAATCTTTCGTCCTGCGTAAGTATTACGTCGGGCACGTCCCTCTACAGGACAAACAGTCAAAAATAGTTTAAACATAGTCTGGAGACGAATTTTCTACTATGTTTGGTTATGTTTGAGCATTGTTTGACTACTTGTTGTTATTCTTCCAACATCCGCCTGTAGGAAGGCATGCCCGACCTCAGTGCACCAGTACTTTCTTAGTCCCAGTCTCCACCTAGAGAGGTGCACTCTGATGTTGAGCCTTCTGCTGTGCAACCCCCTGCACATCGCAGGGGCCTGGCGAGCGGAGGAGATCAGTTGCGCGCTGAAGCTCGGAGATGTGATCCACTGTCCTGCCAAGATATGCAGACAGAGACTCGAGGAACCAGTGTCCACAGTGAACTCGCCGTACCACAAAATGTTCTTTCTCGGTTGGGGTCGAGGTCGTCACGTGAACAAGTCAGCAGGTTGCGCAGTGTTCATTCGCAAGAGGTTGATTCGAGACAAGCACGTCTGCGAGGTCAGAGCGGCTCCCGCCGATCCGGCGAAGGTTTGTCAGACGTTCCCTACGCCGTCGGCATGTGGGGGCGCCTGCGATGGGGATGGGGAATGAGGTATCAGAAAGCATCTGGAGATTACTCAGGACGAGAAGCATGGCGGTCGCAGGCCAAGCGGAAGCTAGACGTTAAACATGTGGAGCGCCCCCTCGAGGACGCAGAGACATACCAACGCCAGTCGGACACCAGCAATGCTTGGAGAATAGTCTATGTTATTGGTGCCCGTCTCGCGGGCCTCGTCGTCGAGCAGCTAGTGTCCCGGATTCGTGGCGTCCGTCGCCATCTGTCTCTGCCCAAGCGAGCAGCTCGCCGACGTGTCGCGCCTTCTCACCATGCTCCTGCCGAGCTGTGGCGCTGGCTGCGCCAGCATGCGACCGAACAGCTCATGGGCGCTTGACCTCACAGAGGGTATGTGCCGGACAGAGGGTTGCAGCGAGCATCCCCCGCGGGTGCCTATGGAGCGCCCCTTCTCCTGCGAACGCCTGCGGCGCTTCCTCCGCCAGCCCCGGGCCAGGGCCCGCACCCCATCCCGGCGACGGCGGAGCAGAACCTCCCGGCTCTCGGAGGGGAACCAGCAGCGGGGCGCAACATCGATGGCAGCAGGGCTGGACCTAAAGGGTGTTTTTGGAGATCTCGTGGGCCGGTTTCGTTTCGACTTCGTTTTACGGGAAGGGCGGATTCGAGACAGAAGCGAGGGAAGACGAAAGCAACACGGAAACGGGAAGCACCGTTGAGGTTCAGCCCCGTGCGATGGGGCTCATGCGGTGATGCTGTCCGTTCGGGTCAGCCCGGTGTCGCGGGCTCCTCCTTCGCCGCGATGGCCCCCGTCTGCCGCGTCGCACGCTCGCGGGCACGCCCCTCCTGGGCCCCGGCAGAGTGCCGCTTCGCGGCCACAGTTCACAGTTGCAGGCTGACACAAAGTCGGGGCACGGTGGGGGGGTTGGTTCAGGAACGCGCCCAGGGGGCCTCGGGCCCTGAAGAGCGCCTCGTCTGATGAGGGCGGCGGCGATGCCCACTGCCGATCCGCCACTGAGGCTCCGCGGGCTTCCAGACTC